AGAGAGAGAGAGAGAGAGAGAGAGAGAGAGAGAGAGAGAGAGAGAGAGAGAGAGAGAGAGAGAGAGGAGAATTTTTGAGGGGGTGTTTATGGTGGGGGTTTGGGGGAGACTTTAGCCATCGGAGATTTGGTTGGGTCGGAGGTGGCTGAATGTGAGAAACTTTTGTTGCGTTGCGTAGTATGGTGATGGGACCTCGGTGTGGGAAAGAAAAAAGAACTGAGAGTGTGGGCGCGATCTCGCGGGTTGAAAATGGGGGAATTGGTGGTTGAGAGAGCTGTGGAGGTCATTCGCCTAAATAAAAGCTTGGTGAGAAGGAGGTAGTGCTTAAGTTGTACCTGCGTAGGTGATTGAGAAAAAAGAGTTATGTATGGGGCGGGGCGATTGTAGGGGTCTCGGAGTGCAGAGAGAACACTCAGTGGGCGAACACAGGACAAGGCCGTCTCTCGAACGAGCCCTCTGTTAAGGAGTAGGAGAGCATATAGCTCGGCAAAGGGGGGAGGTAGGGGGGCGAAAGGATTAAGTAGGTGTCTCTCTGCCTGATGAGAGGGTTAAGGAGATAGGAGTAATGGCGGCGGAGGTCGAACATCATCAAACCTTCGCAACGAACTTAGCGTCCGTGGCGGCAGGGTTTGTGGACACTTCCGTGCAGGATCTGAATGAGGCGGCGGCGGGAAGAGCTGTGATCTCTTCGGCGGCCCAAGAGCGTCAGCATCAGCAGCCGCCGCCTCAGCAACCCCAGCTCCAGCATCAGCAGGAGCTTCAGGATCCGCCACGATTCCCTTCCTCGGTGGAAAGTGAGGAGAAGCCCCTTCTGACTCCGCCCGTCGAGGAGAAGCAGACGCAGAGTCAGGAACAGCAGCAGCAGCAAGAACAACAGGGGGAGGCGCATCAAGAACAACAGGCGGAGCAGCAACAACAACAGGGGGAGCAGCAACAACAACAGGGGGAGGAGTCGGCGGAGCAGCAGTCGGCCACAGCGCCTTTGCCGCATTCGCTGCAGCTGCCTACGCAGCAGCAACAGGAGCCGTTGGAGCAGCAGCAGCAACAACAGCAGCAACTACAGCAGCAACAACAGCTGCAACAACAGCAGCAACAGCAGCAGCAACAACAGCAGCAATTACAGCAGGAACAACAGCAGCAACTACAGCAGGAACAACAGCAGCAACTACAGCAGGAACAACAGCAGCAGGAGGTGGTTTCCTTTACCGTCGAGCAACGGGAGGCGGCATCTTTCTGTGTAGCGGAACACCAGGACCCGAGCACGCTCGCGCAGTTTGATCATGAGGAAGAACAACAGCAGCGGGTGCAGCTGCAGCACCAGCAGCAGGTGCAGCAGCAACAAGAACCTCAGCAGCAACAGCAGCAGGAGCCTCAGGGGTTGATAGCCCCAAAGGAAGAGCACGAGCAGGAGATCCAAATACAGAGCACTCCTTTTCAGCGGCATACTCATCTCCCACCTCACCCCATTCCGGCTGAGGAACTGCAATCGGCCCAGCTGCCAACTCAGCAGCATCAGGCACATCTCCATCCGCATCACATTGCCCATCATCATCATCATCATCAGCAGCAAGCAGTGGAGGTGTCGCAGCTTCTGCACCTTCAGCACCAGCATCAGCAACCGCAAGTGGAAGTAGGCGTCGCAGCACAGGAACAAGTGCATCCTTTGGTGCATGTGCAGCTGCACCGACATCAGCAGCAGGCTCTGTGCGTAGCAGTGCATCCTCTGGTTCAGGTGCAGGCTCATCAGCCTGACCAAGGCCCGGTTGGCGGTCATCTTACTCCGCCGACGTTGACCGAATCTGTCAGTGTTGTCGATCCGCAGCATGGAAGACAGGCGTGTGAGAACGAGTACGAGAGCTCGCTGGCTTTGACGGATTCAGCCACTGCTGCTCCCTCGCTTCCGCCCGCTGAGGATGGGGAGCAGACCTTTCCAACCTGTCCTACACCCTCTCCGGTGTCGCCATACGGGCAGCTAACTCCTAATGGTGAGCTATCTTTCTTCTTCGCTGCGAAAGACTATACCTATATTTCTACTCCCTTTCTTCTTTTCGTTCCACCCTTTTCTGTTTGTTACCACCTACCTATAGGCCCATGCCCGCACACGTCTATATAGAAGGGCGTAGTTGCGTGTTTCCAAGTTAGTTTTTTCGGCGAGTTTTATTCATGATCTTCGTCTTCCCCCTTCCCATTCGTTTTCCAAGCGCATATACCTTCTTCTTTCTTCTTCGCTGCGAAAGAGTACCCTCCTACTTTCTGCCGCAGGGTACCTCTCGGCCGGAAAACGATCACGGAGCAGAAGAAGCGATCGAGCGGTTTTCGAGTGTTTCATCATGACTGTACTTCTCTGCCGTCCGATTCTTTCTAGCCCATGATGGATGGCAGCACAAATATCTCGTCAGACGCATCCTTTGTTGCGTGCGCTTTGCGAGTCTACCGATGCGCTCTCGATTTCGTAAGCAGCCTTGAGCCGGCGTTAAAAAAAAGGGACCAAAAGCGACGGAACGTTTGCGCCAAGGCCCATTTTTATGGGCCACCCCGCACTACGCATGAACTGTGCAAAAGGCTCATCAAATGTGCAAAATGTTCATCAAATGTGCAAAATGCTCATCAAATGTGCAAAATGCTCATAAAAAATTGTGCAAAATGCTCATCAATGATTAAAAAATGTGTGCAAAATGCTCATCAATGATAAAAAAATGTGCAAAATGATAACGAACCTTTTTTCTCCATTTTGCAAGCAGCAGTCCTTGAGTCGGCGTGAGCAGTATCAACGCGACGGAACGGATGCTCCCCGGCGCAGCACCTATGGGCCTCGCCGCACAACTCACCGAATATTCAAGATGAGAACGAATCTTCTGCTGGAACACGGAAAGATGCACAGGCATGAGTTTTGTCTTTTGTGCATTCGGTGAAGCGGTGCGGCGAGGCCCTATGCAACAAAAAATCTCTATCGGTCCGTGTAGATGGTGTTTGTTGTCGCGCGGAATTTTTTTTTTTTAAACATCTGTTGCCTATGATCCTATGTTAATGAGTGAGTCGGTGAGATTCCGAAGGAACATTTTCCCCGGGGGGGGGGGAGAGGGGAGGGGGGGGGGGGGAGGAAGATGCCACACATTTTGTCGAGTGGATGATGACACAGACGGGCCACGGTCGAAACTTTCTGCCTCAGGTAGGGAGGGCACTGGAAGCTCACCTGTCTTTGCGGGATGGCCAGATGTATGGCCGGCACCTGGCTATCTGCTTAGCACAAGTGCATTCTGGGTAGAAACATAAATCTGTCATGGTGTGAACGTCAGCAGTGGCCAAATACTAAAAGACATGCCCCTCGTCAAATCCTTCCCCCTCCTTTCCTTCCCCCCCCCCCCCCCCCCCCCCCCCCCCCCCCCCCCCCCCCCCCCCCCCGCCCCCCCTCTTCTTTTTCCCTACTTGACAGTGTTCACCGGTCCGTACACAAGCACATGCATATCCCTGAGCTTGCGACAGAAAAACAGAGAGAAGGGAGAGTCCATCAAACGGCGAAAAGAAGGGGAAATCGCAAGAAAGACGTGTCCTAAAATCCAAGTCCAGAAAAAACAAAAGCTTGCCTTGGCTGGCTTACCTCTCTTGTGTTTTTTTGCGCTGTCTGCTTGTGCTGCGTCCTTTTCTTTTTTTTTAACAATCCTCTCTCTGTAGTCGTCGATTTGTATTTTGTCCGCTCTACGAAAGTTGAAGGTATGTGTTTGCAATGCGTTGCGCACGAGCCATATATGTCTTCTCAATGCATGAGGTCATTCTCACACTACCGTCTTCACGCGAATACAACGTACCGTTATTGTAGCTGTATTTGAGGCAACATTGAGTCTAGATACGGCAATAATGAACGTACGTTGTATTCGGGCCAGGGGAAGACGGTAGCACTTTTCTAAATGTATCGGACTGCAATTTCGCCTCGACCTGGATTCATCTGACTGTAATCACGTCCAGAGCGCAGTTGAAGAAGTCCTAGTGTGAGTACGCGATTTCGCCTCGATACGGAGAATGGAGTTGTGGCAAGGTTGAAAATGAATTTTCATGCAGGGAATGGAGTTGTGGCAAGGTTGAAAATGAACCCTAAGGCTACCAGCCCACCCTGGGCTGAAAAGGCCACCGTTGTCAGATTAGACACAAGATTGAATTTACCTGGGCTGGTTAGTCCGATGATAATACCTCAAGGCCATCGCCCTTTAAGAAAAAAAAAAAAAGAAAAGAAAAAAAAAAAAAGAATTTTCATGCAGGGAATGGAGTTGTGGCAAGGTTGAAAATGAATTTTCATGCAGGGTACATGGGGTGCAACCCATGCTGAATTACAGACCCGAGTTCGAATCCAGATGCAAACAGATGACCAGAATAACATCATCCTGAATTACCTGGAGCCGGTCAGTTACACGGATGATGATATCTCAAGGCCCTCGCCATTACAGACAAGATTAAAAAAAAAGAGAAACATCCGTGGATGCCCGTCTGAAATCGGTGCAGCATCTGAGTGGTGAGGGAACGGATGGTGCTTGCGCCTCATTCCGATTTTTTGCGAGATTTGTCGTTTGAAGGCTCGACGACGAAGAAGAAGAAGAAGAGATGGGCTATAAATTTTTTCCTTTCTGTTTGGTTGAAAAAATGGGTGCCCTTGCTGTACACATCCAACAGGATTTGAACACGAGCTATTTCTTGATGGACAGTTATGAGTGCTTAATTCCTCCACCAGGCAGGTACGGGTGGGTTAAAGTTGTGCACGACTGGCGGGGAGGAGCTGCACTTGCCGCTCCTGCTCATTGTGCGCTTCTTGGTTGTGCTGTGTTAGGTCCCTATTTATTCTACGAGGAAAAACAACCGAGTTCGTTCTTGTTTTCTTTTTTTTTTCCTKTTTTTTTTTTTTTTTTTTTTTTAACAATTGAAGGAAACAGCGAGTTAGTTCTATTGCTCATCCGAAGTCAATGTTGCCGTTCTTTCGTGACAGTAGGCTCCGTTCGATTGCGCACTGCAATGCGGCACCACTACAGCACTCGGGTCGCGTCCATTACACAAGTGAACGAAGTTTACGGCATCGGGCGGGTTGACCTTTTAAGTGGCCTGGCGTGAAAGGAGATCACTGGATTTACCCAGGCTCTGGAAGATCTCCGACTTGTCTCCGAGATGCAGTAGTTTTTGAGGGAGGGGCACGTGAACGCGAGCTGTAGTTGGGATTCCAGACCAGACGTGGCAAGGCGCGAAGCCACGTCGGGCTTCTCTGTATTACGTTGGTTATTGACGTACTACGGAGTTGGGGACGTCGTCGATAAGCCGGAAAGGTACTGTGGTCTGTTTCCCCGTGCAGTATCAATCAAGCTCAACGTCTGCTGACCGCACCCAGTGACCACCTTGTATCAACAAGCCGGGCCTGTTATGCTTCTCAACCAGTAACACTGGCTAGCAGCTGATCGGTGACCCGTCTCTCTGGTTTGGCCCGGGGTAAGTCCCACTATAGGGGGCTTAGGCTTGGTTTCGTGTGCGCACCGGGGGGGTAAACTT